AAGACTCCGTCGTCTCTCATTCCCTCAGCCTAAAAAGGTTTAGTCACGTTCGGTCGAAAATCGATCGTTCGCGTCACGAAGCGCGAACTCGTCGTATCGTCTCTCTCACTCTCTCCGTGTGACGTTCTTAGTGTTAAAAACTATTTCGTCTTGAAACTCGACTTTTGCTATGCACAGCAAAAGATGTTTCTGTCTCTTGCCTTTTACATAACCCCCAACTTACCTATCAACAAGAGGGAGACTCAAATAACGAGATCAAGAAAAAAACTATTTTCAAATGGAAAAAGAGAATTTTAAATAAGGGACTATTTCATTTAATCTTGTAATTATTTACTCCAATGGAATTTAGTGATTACTCTAAAAAAAAATTCGCCTTCACTCACCCTTAACTCTTGCAAATTTAAATATTGAAATACTCGTTTGTATTAAAGTTTCGATTTTTAAATTTTAATTGTTAATTTTTAATTTCTAACTTATAGTTTCGAATTTCTAATTCTCCATTTTTTAATTTTGAACGTGCGAATTTTTTTCAACATGGTAATAAAAAAAATTTCTTTTTTTTATGGTAGTAAAATAGTACGTATAGTAACATTCAATATAGCGAAGTCGAAATTTTCTCTTCCAGTATATATTTTAAATTGTAAGCACCGTCTGAGGACAAAAGATCGTATTATACCCTGGGGCTCTATTATTGAGAAATACATGACGAGAATTTCGCTGGTCCCGCGTGCAGAACCTTCATTAATCCACTTAATTTGAAAGTAACAGCGAACCAGCGCCATTTGCACCTGCTACTATAATAACAGCAAAAGACTCTCGCTATAATCGTTTAAATGACGACCAGTCTCTAGGAAAGGAATTTTTTTTCCACCCCCCTCCCCCCTTCTAAATTACATAAAGAAAACCACTGAAATTATTTCCATATTTATAATTATACTGTATATAAGAAAATATTCAATAAATTAAAATTTTTTTGTTCTTTTCATTTTTCCGTCTCGCAAAAAATGCAGAGAGAAAAAATTTTCTTCTATAATGAAAAAAATGTTCTATTTGTTGAAAAATAAAATTTTCTTTTATTAAAAGTCATAAATTATTTCTGAGATGATCGAGAATTTGTTATTAATAAACTGTTGAGTAATGGTTTAATTACAAACGTTCTGTAATTATTTTATTGAATTTTCGATGAGCAATTTTAACCCACTGAGTTAATTTTATACGAATAATTTATTATTTACAGTAATTGAGTTATGCTTTATTTTGATTTCGTCAAAATGTAAATGTTGGTGAGAGATTAAAATTGTCTCTTTATCGATATAATTTTCTGAAGAGTGATATAGAAGTCAAATTTTAACTTCTATAAAAGGTGTCGAAATTCAATTAACTATTGGTATTGTTCTTAAATTACTTTAGAGGGAAAATAAATTTAGCCAATAGCGTAAAAACTGGTTTTATTGTTAAAAATTATTAACCCTAGACTCCGTAATCTGTCTTCTACTTTAGTCCTTAACTGAGGGTAATAAAGTACCCCAAAGTGTTTTGTTGCTGGAACTTTTGTATTTATTCAAAAACAATTTTAATAAAAAGTATTTTTTTCGTTTTTTTATAAGGAAGACCTCTTTCTATTTTTTGATATCACAGTAAAACGTGAGGTGTTAAAATAACACTAGAATGGATTAAAATAACACTGGAATGGATTAAAATAATCTGCAACAGTTTAATCCCTCTAGGATTAAATTAACACCAGAAAGGATTAAAATAATCTACTTTGGTGTTATTTTTAACTACACTGGTTTACAGTGAAATTATCAATCCAACAAAACATTTTTTTTCCAATAGTAGGTGTTTTTTGAGTAAGAAAATCATAGTTTTAATTTTTTTCCCTCGTGCAGTTTTTCTGTAGCTTGAAATTTTGCATTTTCGAGGTGCGACGCCACTTAAACTTACCTGCAAGAAAATTAGCTTGTCAAAATATAATAAATGAGGTATCATTGGAAAGGTTATTAAATTACCTTTCGATCCATAGGTCACAAAATAAAATTCAACGAGAATTGAGAGAGTTACAGTCGATTAAAGATGAAATTTCATGCCAAATTTGATGATTTTTAGACATTTGAGTAACTTCTGCTATTTTTTTCTACATCAAACAGGAAAGAATGTTTAGGTTTTAATTTTTTTATTGATAGACTATATCATTACACAAATTTTGAGCCCTTGTGGACCTCGATTGGATTAAAAATGACAATTCTACACTAAATTTAGTGAACGAAACTACATTCTTCATTTTTAATATCCCTTAAACATTTGCAGCAAAAATTGAAGTAATAAAATTTAGTTAAGCTCTAAAGTTACTAAAATCACTAATCAAGGATTTCTGAAATCGTAGATTTCGAATCCAATGTTAGTTTTCTAAATTTCAAAATGTCGGATCCAATATGGCGGACAATTTTTTAAAAATCAATTAAATTCGTCTTCAATTCGTTACTCGGGGGTTTTCGGGGTCGCTGATTACGAATCTGATGTCGGATTTCGAAAATTGAAAAGGATGGATTCATAATGGTGAACGAGTTTTTAAAATCCATCGAATTCGCACTTATTGGATCCGCCATTTTTAATTTTTGAAATCTGACATCAGATTCGTAATCAGCGACCCCACAAACCCCCGAGTAACGAATTTAAGATGAATTTCATCGATTTTTAAAAAATTATCCGCCATATTGGATCCGACATTTTGAAATTTAGAAACCTAACATTGGATTCGAAATCCAATCTTAATAAATAACAAAATGGCGGACTAAAAAGAAAAATTTTTAAAATCGATATTTTTTTCGTAAGTAATTGTTTAAAAAAAGTAGGAAAATGTTTATATAAAATCATGACCGAGGTTCACAAGATAGCCACTCATGTGTAGAATAATGCCTCAAAATTGCAGACCAATCGGTTAAATAGATTTTGAGTAATCCTTGTCACCAGTTAGAAAAAAGTGGTTTTGAGAAAAACGCGTTAAAAGTTTTGGTAGCTGTAGCTCGCGCCCGTGCACTGTTTAATTCTAAGCGCTGTAACTTTGTTAATTTTTCAAATATCTGTCTAAAACTTTTACACGATATTTCTAAGATATTGTACTTTCGAAATATGCAAAAAAAAATCGATTTTTCCAAACCGTCACATAGGAAAAGTGCCTTAAGAAATGGAAATCAGAGTGTCTAGAAATTTGATTTGAATAAGCAAATGTCAATGCCTCTTATTCTTGATTAGAATTAATATTTTCTTACATTCACTGTCGAAAGATTGCCTTTTTAAAAAATACTCAACAATAGCTTTTAACAATACGAAAATGATGATGGTTAATTTTCACCTGGATCTTGTAAAACGAAGTGATCTCAACGAAGCGGAGAAATGGGAAACAATAGAGAGTAAAGAAGTGATTCTTGAAAATTGTGAATCTTGGAGAAAATGTCTCGAGAGTCTAGACGGGGAGTGTCGCTTAAACAATAGTTGAAACTCCCCCCTCCCCCTTAGAGAAATTTTGATGCAATCTTTGTCTCTATATATATGACGAACATTTAATTGGACAGTTGACGTGAATCTGTCATTTGGTATATAGCAACTATTACAAAATTTACAACCACGAACAGACTCTTCGATCTCGTTGCCACCTTACGAATTCATGGCAATCACTTCTGCTCTGCATGAAACTCACGATAGGAATACCACACGAGACGCTCTTCTGGATAATACATGCTGCAACACTCATACATATTTACCGACATGAAATACTTGCACTGCACAACGATATCGACCATCAAACTTCATTTTGTTATCTAAATTGCCTACACGGTCAAAATTGATTTTGGGGAAATTATAAATTTGTCTCCTTTTTGTTATTATCTGAAATAAGAGTAAATTCTGAAGAAATTTTTCTAAAAGTTCACAACGAAACACAGTTTAAAAAAATTATTTGGAATTTTAAGCCTTTAACTGCTGTACATTATTACAAGTTATACTTATAGTTTATATTTTTTCCTACTTAGAAACAATTTTTTTGCAAACTCAGTGAATGCACTGAGTTTGCAAAAAATATTGCTGACCATTAGATCCCTCCTAGATTTAATTTAAACTAGTCTTTTTTATAAAATTCCAATTATTTAGATATTAATGTCAACTGCTGTACATTATTGGAAGCCATAATTATTTTTTATATTTTTTTCTGACTCAGGAATATTTACTGAGTTTATAAAAAAATTGTTGTCTTTTTCAACACTCCTAGATTTCCTTAAAATTAGACTTTTTTAAAAAATTCAAATTGTTTAGATATTAATGTCAACTGCTGTACATTACTGAAAGCAATAATTATTGTTTATATCTTTTTTTATAATCAGAAACATTTATTGAGTTTGAAAAAAAATTATTGACGTTTTCAACCTTCCTAGAATCCTTTTAAATTAGACTTTTTTTTAAAAAATTTTAATTTTATAGATATTAATGTCAACTGCTGTACGTTACTGAAAGCAATAATTATTGTTTATATTTTTTTTCATGGTTCGAAATATTCACTGAGTTTAAAAAAAATTGTTGACGTTTTCAACCCTCCTAGATTTCCTTTAAATTAGACTTTATTAAAAAATTAAAATTTTTTAGATATTAATACCAACTGGTGTACATTATTGAAAGCAATAATTATTGTTTATATTTTTTTTCATAATCAGGAACATTTACTGAGTTTGAAAAAAAAATGGTTGACGTTTAGAAACTACCTAGATTTCCTTTAAATGAGACTTTTTTATAAACTTCTAAATTTTTTAGTAATTAATGTCAACTGCTGTACATTACTGAAAGTAATTAATGCTAATTAATTAAAATCACTTATTTTCATAAAAACTTTTCTTTAATTTAGATTTATTAAAAACCACAATTTCAAAATAATTATTTTATCTAAAAAATGTTTAATAGCAAAATGCATTTGACATTGGAACTAATTTTAACAATATTGCTTAATGTTTAAGGTATTCAACATTTCCTTGCGCAGTCGCATCAAACAGCAGTCCTTCAAGATATAAGAAAAGGGCATAGAACAAAGACGAAGTTGCATAAACAGAACAAGAAGGACGTATGACAAACACCAGATTCTCTTCCAAAGGATGGTATTCTCTGTAAGTTTTAGAATTGGTAATATTTATTTAGTTTTAATTTTAAGGTATTACAGTGGCTAATATATTTCCTATTAATTTGCTAAAAATTGCAATAATTTGATATTGAGAACATTACTAAGATATTTACAAACTTAAAAAGAACTTTGTGCAATTGAAATAAATTAAATGTAAGAATTTTTTGGACATTAATGTCAACTGCTGTACATTATTCAAAGCAACAATTATTAAATTTTTTTTCATGGTCAGAAACTTTTACTGAGATTGAAAAAAAATTGTTGACGTTGTCCTCATAGATTCCCTTTAAATTAGACTTTTTTAAAAAATTACAATTTTTTAGTAATTTATGTTAACTACTGTACATTATTTAGAACAATAATTATTGTTTATATATTTTTTCGTAAACAGGAAAATTTACTGAGCTTGAAAAAAAATTGTTGACGTTTTCAACCCTCCTAGATTTCCTTTTAAATAAAATTTTTTAAAAAATTATAATTTTTTAGATATTAATGTCAATCGCTGTAAATTATTCAAAGCAATAATTATTGTTTACATTTTTTTTCATAATCAGGAATATTTACTTAGTTTGAAAAAAAATTGTTGACGTAACTCAACCGTCCTAGAACTCCTTTTAATTACTTTTTTTTAAAAATTATAATTTTTTGGATATTAATGTCAACTGCTGTACATTATTCAAAGTAATAATTATTGTGTATATTTTTTTGCATAATCAGGAAAATTTACTCAGCTTGGAAAAAATTGTTGACGTTTTCAACCTTCCTAGAATCCCTTTAAATTAGACTTATAAAAAATTAAAATATTTTGGATATTAATGTCAACTGCTGTACATTATTCAAAGCAATAATTATTGTTTAAATTTTTTTTTTCATGTTCAGAAATATTTACTGAAATTGAAAAAAAATTGTTGACGTTTTCAATTCTCCTAGATTCCCTTTAAATTAGACTTTTTTTTAAAAAATTATAATTTTCTAGATATTAATGTCAACTGCTGTACATTTTTCAAAGCTATAATTATTGTTTAAATTTGTTTTATCTTCTGTCCTTATCTCGTTTTCCTTTAACGACAGTAAAGAGTACAAAAGGAAATTTGTGCCCTTTCCCTCTCTCCTTCTTCCTTCGTGGATAATTTTATCCTTCTACCTGAGTGAGTTTTCCATTTTTTTTTATTGATTTACTTCAGTGATGGAAGTAGTTGATAATAATTTAATTTTTTTAAGTATTTTAAATAATTTATAAATATTTTAAATAATTTAGGCAAATTATAAGTGCGTCTAATAAGTAACTATTATTATCAATTCTATAGATTCCGAAGAATTTTCCAGAGAACAACTAATTTTCGAAGATACTGGAGTTTTAATAAATTTTCCTGTAGAACTTCATAAAGAATGAGTAAGTACCATAAAATATAACAAACTTTTAATTTTAATTATTTTCATTAAATATAGTAAATTATTTTATTATATTATTTTTTTAAATAATCTTTTTTTTGAATTATTTTAATAATTAATGATTTATTTATTAAAAAGAGGGATAACGTAATTTTTTATTTGATATCAATTATTAATGATCAATTAATATCAGTTAGTGTAATAAAAAAATTATTTATAACAAATAGAAAATTCAAAGCTAAACAATTATTTCTTTTAAATTACATTTTTCAAAATTTTAATTTATTTAAACTTTTAATCAAATTCTTTTAACTAAAAGTTTTTAATTGTTTGTTATGATTTATCTCTTTGTAAGAGATATTTAAACAATTTTTTATATAAAGAATTTATTTTTCATATTTTTCATTGTAAAAGTATGGAAGTAGGAATTTATTTTAACAGTTTATGTATTTCCAATGAACTAAAATTTTTTTTTGCAGAGATATATTTTTTTTTCTCAAATATTAATGACGAGTGAACGAACAGGACGCAAGAAGACACCCCATCGTGGTTTAAAATCAGTGGAAAATCTGTGGAAAATGTAATATTTAGCTCTCATTGTATTAGGTAATTTTTCACCGAGTGCTAGAAATATTTGTTATTTAGCTAGGGATTTTAAAACCAAAAAAATGAATTATATTAGCTAGGTAATTAGCAATGTTAGTAGTTTTTAGGTAAAAATAATGTTAACAGAAGAGACTTCAACATCCAGCATCAACTCATCATAAAGGGGTAAGTCAAAGAAATAACATTATTTTACTTTCTCTTATTACTTCCTACACCTAGAAAAAGTTTTATTTGTTTGGAAAAAATTCTAACTTTATTTTTTACTTTAAAAATAAATTTAATTTAAATAAAAAATGCAAATAGAAAATGTTTTTCATTAAAAGAACATTTTTTAGTGAAAAAAAATTTTATCTTAATTTTATTTTTTAATATATATTTTATTTCATTTTTTATTTTTTTTTCTTAATTTCTAAATCGAAATCTTTTTCAAAGTAACCTAATATTTAAATTTCGAGTAACTTAATAAAATTCATTGCAAATTGAAATTAAAATTTATTGCAAAATAAATAAAAATTATTTGATTAAAAAAACCATATATATTAAAAAAAAAGTTAGAATTAGAAATAAAAATGTAAAATATATAAGTTTGTAAGAATTCTAATTTATTATACACTGAAACATAAATTTAATTAATTCAAATACCCGATTACTTGTCTATTCTCAAAAAAATATTTACTTGATTTAAATAATTTTTATTTCAATCAAATAAATTTGTACCAATAATTATTTTAGCCAATAATTCAAAAATAATTAAATTTTAATACTGCATTTAAATCAAGTAATCCGTTATTTAAATCAGATAAATCTTTATTTCTGTACATAAGTTAACTTCAAAAATTACTAACAATAAGATAAGAGTTATAAATAAAAAATGTTAAATTAAATAGTATGCAATCAAACTAAAAAAGTAAAAATTTAAAATTTTTAAAAATTAAAAAGAAAAATGTAAAATTTAAAAATATAAATTTTTCCAAAAATTCAAAATATAAAAGTAATTAGTATATAAAATAAAAAAGAGAGCATAAGTAAAAATTTTACCAATTATGAATTACTTAAAGATAAAGTTAGGAAAAATGAAAAATAATTAAAAATAAAAGTCATATTAAAAATTAAAAGAAAAAAAATTAAAGAGTTGAATGTAAAATTGTTTATTTTTCATTAAGAAGATATAATTTTTGTTCTTTAAAATACGAATGGAAAATTTCTGAAAATTTTAGATAATCGTTGATTTGAATGTTTGGTCAACAACCTTTCAATGATATTGAGGATTTGAAAGAAAAGTTAATCTCTTTTGTAAACAAGACAGGTAATGACTCTGAAATTATTTTCCTTATGCCCTTGTCTATCCTTTCTTCATCGACAATAAAAGTACCAAATTAAAATTGAGCCCTTCCCCCTTCTTTTCCTTCCTTCGTGAATTGTTTCTTCTGAGTAGTTTTCAAGAGTGTCGCAGTTAAATTAAATATAAAGTATTATTTCACAAAATTATTTATTTAAAATTTAACAATAATTTTCCCACAATACAAAACTTTTTCGAAGAAAGAAATTTTTATTTTAATTTTCCATTCGTCTTTTATAAATCCTGGGTAAGTCCAATAAATATTTCAACAATTGTTTTTTCTTTAAAATATTATAGAAATTTTCGTTAATGTTTATATTTTAAATTAATAGTAGATTTCATAGAAAAAACTTTACCTGCAACAGCTACAAATTATACTGCTTTTTAGTGAATTTCTAAAACTTTTCCATTCGAAACTGTACATTTTAGAGAATATTGCTTTACCAGGTTAAGTTTTTGTTTTCCATGTAGTAAATAAAAATAATACTGTTTATTTAATTTAGCTGCAAAATATTTAGATCTCTATTTTTTATAAAAAATTATATTTATTTTATTTACGTGAAAATTAATTTGAAATATTTATTTTTTCCAGTTACGGCGTCAACTCACGCAACATTCTTCCATCTGAAGAGGAGGGCCATCACCTGAAATGCAGAGGGGTAAGTAAAACAAATACAAATATTTTATTTTCCTTTCTTTATTCTTTCTTCACATAATTTTCTACATAATTCTCACAATATTCTTTCTGATACTTCATTCTTTAAAGTCATTTTTTAGTTTTCAAAATTCCATTCTCACACTCTAAATCTGAATCGGTGAAAACTTCCCAGATTTCAATTTAATGGACGAGGTTTCTATGATAAATGAGTGGAATTTCACTGAGAATCAGTAAAAACTATTGATTCTTAGTGGAATTCAAGTGAGAATTGGTGAAATTTCACTGATTTATCAAAAAAAACATCGTCCTCTGAATTGGAATCTGTGAAATTTTTATCGATTCAGATTTAATTCTTCTTTCTATTTTTCTGTGTTTTTTCCATCTGTTGTGCTATTTCCATCTCTGTCTCCTCTGGGGAAAATGCACTTCACTTATTCTGTGGGAATAGGGGAACTTCCCCCTCCAGTAGCAGATCTAGCTTCACTTGTGGCGAATAAGATGAAGTGTGGTTTTCCCTAGAAAAAAAAATTTTCCTTTTTGCCCCTTCCCAAAAAAATAACTTTTCTCTATATTTACCAGTTTAATCTGCATCTCAGTTTCTTGTAGGGAAAACGCACTTCCGCTTATTCTCTGAGGAGTAGGACAATTTCTCCCACCAGTAGTAGAAATTGTTTTACTCTTGGCGAAAAAGATGAAGTGATCGTGTCTTTCCCTGGAAGGAACGACTTCTTTTTTCTCTTTTCTATTTATCAAATTTCCTATTTAACTTTCTTATGAAAACGCACTTCACTTATTTTCTGGGGAGTAGGACAATTTCTTCCAGCAGTGTCAGGAATTGTTTTACGCCTAAAAAATAAGAGGAAGTGATCATCTTTAATTTTTTCTCTTTGTATTTTCACTTCAGTCTCCTCTAGGGAAAACGCATTTAGCTTATTCTCTAGAGAATAGGACAGTTTCTCCCACCAGTAGTAGAATTGACTTATTCCTGTCGAATAAGATGAAAATATCGTTTTCTTTCCCTGGAGGACCGACTAGTTTTTCCAACTCAGTCGTCCACTGTCTCTTTTGGTGAACGGCTGGGTTAACTGCTTCTCTCAACTGTCTTTTTTCTTCGATCTTCTTTTTTCTATGTCTTCTTATTTTTTCTGTCTTTCTGTCTTTTAAGTCTCCCCTAGGGAAAACGCACTTTACTTAATTCTGTAGACAGTGGGTCAATTTGTAAATTAGTAGAAATTGCTTCACTCCTGGCGAATAAGGCAAAGTGTCGTCTTCTTTCCCTGGGGTACCGACTTGTCTATCTACCTAGTAGAGCTCATGTCACCTCTCCTTTGGAGGGACTCAGTCTCCCCTAGGGAAAACGCGCTTCTCTTACTCTCTAGGGAGTAGAGGGAAACTTCTTCTCTGGAAGTAGAAGTTTCTCTTTGGGAGTAAGATGAAGTGTCGTCTCTTTCCCTGGGGGACCGGCTAGTCTCTGTTGACCAATGGAAGAGCAGACATCAGTTCTACCTCCCTTCCTTTTGGTGGAAAAGACTTGCAACAAGCCTTTCTGTCCGAAAGAAAGTCTTTCCACCAACTCAGTCCTTCACAGACTCCCTAGTGAAGGACTTGAGAATTTCCTCCTCCCCTTTACCTTTCCCAGGGGAGAGTGTGACGATTTTCTCTCCCCACTTGGGAAACGAAGTCGTCCTCAAGGAGAGAAGTTGTCGACTTCACTCTCCTTGAGTAGGAAGAGAGAAAAGTCGGAAGTCGTCCTCAGAAAGGGGATGGCGACTTTCTCAATTCCAGAAGAAGTCGAACGGGTAAGAAGGTCACTGTGAATACCGAGCTCTAGAGATGGAAAAAAAATTGACGTACACCCCCCTCTTTTTCTTTCTCAAGGAGAGAAGTTGTGGTGCTTCTCTCCTTGACTTCGACTTCTACTGAGAAGTGAAAAGACTTGAAAAGACTCCGTCATTTCAACTTCCCTACTCGAGGAGATCGAAGTCGGAAACTCTCTCCTCGAGGACGACTTTGGTTTCTCCCAAGTAGGGGAGATTTATCCCAAGTGGAAGAGAAAGTCGTTAAACTCTCCCACTTGGGAAACGACTTCTTTTTCTCCCTAGGAAGAGAGAGAAGTCGCCAACTTCCTCCTTTTCTATCCTCTCCATTTCCTACTTCTCCTCCCACCAACAGAGAACTAACTCTCCATTGAAAGAGTAGGAAAGAGAGGGCATAGAAAAATCGGAAAGTGTAGAAAAAAGGAGGAGAGGTTCAGGAATTAAGGTTGGAAAGTGTTGGAGGAAAATTCGATTATTTAAATCAATCAGAAGTATTTTAGCCATAATAATACAGCATTAATCAATTAGTTTCAACAATGATGTATAATTATGACTGTTGTTCCTTCTAACTGATTCAAATTTAGAAATAAATATGAGGAATGAAGAGGAATTGAAGTTTCTTACTGGAAGACATTTTCAATTCTCCTTCATCCTTAATTTTTTTCAACAAAAATAAAAGTACGTAAACCTTATGCGTGCCATTCAATTCATTAACCATAAAATTCTATCTACCTCTTAATTACTCAACTTTGACTATTTTCTAGATGGTTCAAGTCTGATGCTACCTTTGGCTCGACAACAGTTGTTTTTCGTTTATTTAACAAGAAAGAAGAATTACAGGAAAATGTATTTTTTTAACAAGTAAAATAAAAGTTTTTTCTAAAATCAAATGTTTTTTTATTTTTAAGAATTGTACCAACAAAAAAAACCTTTGTATATATAATTTTGCAAATTTTTTTCTTTGTTTTAAAAAATAGTAAATCATAAATAAATATACTTTATTCAAGAAAGGCGTATTATGGTTACTATATGCTACCTGTGCCGGTGCTTTTTAAGTTCTCCCATAATCCACTGGTCAATACCATTATTACCCTAAGGTCATAATGGGTACTTTATTGACCTGCGAGCGGTGAATAAAGGTACAGGTAGATAAAGTGACCATAATACGCCTAAGTTGCATTAGAAATGTGAATTAAAAATTGAACACAATTAAAAAACGAATAAATTAATAAAGAAATTAAGGAAAAAGTTAAAGGAAGAAATGAATAAAAAATTTAATTATGAAAATGGAATTATTTAAATTAATTACTAAAATTTAAGAACAGAATATTTTAATTAAAAAATTTGAAAAAATTTGTAAAATATAACTTACAAGAAGGTTTAGTACTATTTTTTTGCAATTTCGGGAAATCTTTTTTTTGGCACGACGGAAGTACGCACTAATTTTTTTGTCAATAAAAATATATAATCTACTATGGCTTTTAATGTTTCTAAAAATTGAGAAAAGGATATTTCAATTTATTTTCAAAATTTAAAATATTAAATTTTTAAGATTTAATTATTTGTAAATTTTTTAATTTGACTACTTGAAATGTTTCACATTTAGATTAACTTTTGTTTCAATTAAAGTTTTATTAATTGAAATAAATTGAAATTGTTAAATATAAGCCCAAAGTTTATATTTTACATTAAATTGAAAAAGAAAAAGTAAATTTTGAAATTATAAATAAATCAAATGAAACAATATTTCTCATTTTTTAGAATCATTGAAGTAGAAAGTTTTAATTATAAGTTTTACTCTATTTACCAACTACAATCTATTGCATTAAACCATGAGAGTAAAAGACCTATTTTTGTTTCAGGAACGTATGTAAAAAAAGGAGACCAAAAGAAAAAGCAAAAAGAAACTGAAGATATAATTCATGACATAGAGGATCTTATCAACAATAAGTTACTTATGTGCAAGAATTCATAAATATATTTTTTTTAATGGTAGCTTTGAGAACATTTACATTTTATGTTGAATGAAAACATGTAATATTATATGATATGATACAAAAATAAATTATTAAAGTATATTATCAAAAAAATAAAAAAATTTGATTATTTATTTACTTCTTTAATTCCTATCTTTAAAGTCTGATTTAATGAGAATGAATTATTTTATTCAAAGACTACGTGAAAAAGAATTTAAACCTAATTCAACAACTCGGATGCAGGCTCTTCTTCCAGCAGTGTAGTCTTTCTGAACTAATTTACTCGTACCGCATTGGTGTATAATTTAAAAATTTTAATTTACTTCTAAAATTTTACTTTCAATTCTGTTTTACATAAAGTTCATAAATTTTTACTTTCAATTACGGTTTCACCAAGTTCATTAATTTTTTACATTTTAATAAGCTACTAAACAGCAAAATTAATAAATTTTTTTAACAAAAACTAAAGAGTGGAGTGGAGAATTTTTGACAATCCTGCACGTAAGTTACCTGAGATAGTAAACTTTAAAAACTGTGATTGCATTTCAGAAATAAAAGGATATAGTTTCAAAGAATATTCAGAAAACAGGTCTTTTACTCGCATTAAAAAGAAACTGTACCAATTACTGCGATATTCTAGACATTAAAAATAATTTTAAACTGATTTTAAATTCTTGGTAATCACATTGCTATCGCATCATGGTTTAACATAATATTTTCAATATTTATTTTCAATATTACTAAATTAAATAAATTAAAATAAAATTAATTAAAATTAAATTACTAAAAAATTTAATTACAATTAAATAAATAAAATAAAAATAATTTTTAAAGTCGCAGTAAATGGTATACAAGTATTAACTACTGTTTAAATTAGAACCTACACCCAGATATTCAGTTACATTAAAAAAGATCTCTCTAAACGTTATTTTTAATGATCCATTTAGTAAGAATATTTACTTATTTTTACTTTGTTTGAAATTATTCAAATTTTATTTTAAACAAACTTTCATAATTATATTCTTTAAGCTTCTAGTAAATCGAATTTAAAGTTTAATTTTTTACATATCAAATTCGAAATCTTAACAGTAAACTGACATTTGTTTTGACTGTTTGTCAAATACATTAAACTTTTCTATTTTATTTATGACTCTTAATATTTTCAAAAAAATTACTTTTTAATGTTTAATTTATTAATTTTTAAAGCTTATTTTTTTAAAATTCAATTTATTAATTTTTAAGTTTACCTTTTTCTTTGAAATACTTACTTTCTTTTTATTTAAATTCAGTTTACTTTTAAAGACAAAAATAAAGATAAAAGAAATTTTTTTTTAGAATTGAATGAAACTTTTTCTGGATATAGGATATAATAAAGGATGGTACAAAGTTCTTTTTTAACTTACCCCTAATCTCTAGGGAAGGAGTGTTGTCTCTTGATGCTGGATCTTGAAGTCTCTTGAGAAATTGAAATTTTTTTTTGCTTAAAACTAAGAACTTACTTTGCTAATTACCTAGCTAAAATAAAATCATATTTTTGGTTTCGAAAATTCCTAACTAAATAATTGACAACAAATATCAGTCGACGAAAAATATCCTACTACACCGAGAACTAAGCACTACACGTTTCGCAGCTCTGCAGCCAATTTCGTACCACAATTCGATGTCCTCTTGGGCCACACTGTTCTGCTTTTGTTCTCTCATCGATGCCTCTCGAGAAAAAGAATGTCTCTGCAAGAAAAATTTTTTAACTTAATCATACCAGTAAAAAAAATTTAAATTTTATATCCATAATTTTTTCTATAAAAATATATTTGTCGCATCGCGAGAAATAGAAAATCAAAATAAAGATTAAATTATAAGGAAAGGGAAGAAGGGACATGAAAATCACTATAGAAATAAGAAATTTTGGTATGTCCAAAAAAAGAGAAGATAAATTAATTTGTTATATTAAGTGGAGTGCTTAAACATTTTTAACTAGTGACAATTATACAATAAAGTAAAAAACAAACTAAAGTGAATTTGTAGTTATTTCTTCAAATTAATCAGCCACCCTTATTTAATCATTAAAAATTAAAGTAAGGGATAAACAATATTTCTTTACATAAAGAAATCTTTAATTTCTTATTTAACTGCTAACTACTAATTAATAATAAATAGCAAAAACTATATTAAACAAATAAGTATTTAATTTATGCATAATTAATAAATTTATTAGTAAAATTAATTATTAAATAGGCTAATTAAAAAAGAATCTAAACTAGTAAAAAATGTCCTCGATTGTTTCACAAACTCAGGATATAATCCTGAGTTAGAAAAAAATTATAAACAATAGCTTTTGTTTATAAAATTGTACATCATGACATTGTTTTAAAAATGGGAATTTAAGTAAAAAGGGTAATTTAAAAAAATCTTAGCTGGTAAAAAAAGTCCTCTTCTTTTCACAAACTCAGAACTTAATTCTGAGATAGAAAAAAATTATAAACAGCCTTTGTTTATAAAAAAGTACAGCAGTTGACATTAATGTTTTGAAAATGGGAATTAAATTGAAAAAGCTAATTTAAAATGAATCTAAGCTAGTAAAATGTCCTCTATTTTTCAACAAACTCAGAATATAATCCTGAGTTAGAAAAAAATTATAAACATTAGCCTTTGTTTATAAAAATGTACATCAGTTGAAATTAATGTTTTAAAATGTGAATTTAATTAAAAAAGCTAATTTAAAAAGAATCCAAGCTAGTAAAAAATATCCTCTACTTTTTAACAAACTCAAAATATAATCCTGAGTTTACAAAAAATTATATACAATAGCTTTTGTTTAAAAAAGTACAGCAGTTGACATTATTGTTTTAAAAATGGGAATTTAAGTAAAAAGGGTAATTTAAAAAAAATCTTAGCTGGTAAAAAATGTCCTCTTTTTTTCACAAACTCAGAACTTAATCCTGGGTTAACGAAAAATTATGAACAATAGCTTGTGGTTTTTAAAAGTACAGCAGTTGACATTAGTGTTTTAAAAATGGGAATTTAATTAAAAAATCTAATTTAAAAAGTATCTAAGCTAGTAAAAAATGTCCTCTATTATTTTTAAAAATTTAGAACCTAATTTTGAGTAAGAAAAAAATTATAAAGAACATCTTTTGTTTAACTGTTTTTAACTGTACAGCAGTTGACATTAATGTTTTAAAAATGGGAATTTATTTGAAAAGGCTAATTTAAAAAGAATCTAAGCCAGTAAAAATGTAATGAATTTTTTTCCAAACTCGGAACATAATCCTGGGTTTACAAAAAATTATAAACAATAGCTTTTGTTTACAAAAAGGTACAGCAGTTGACATTAATATTTTGAAATTGGAATTTAATAAAAAAGATACTAATCTAAAACGAATCTAAGATGGTATTTTATGAATGCATATGTAATAATGCAAAAGTGTTATTTGAAAAAATACGACTTGAGCTATTTCCGAAATTCACGATTCAATTAAAAAGGCTAATTTAAAAAGAATCTAAGCTAGTATTAAATGTCATTAATTTTTTTTTTTCTTTTAGTGAAATGCATTATAATTTTAAGTTTCATATATAGAAATAAATTTAAAAAATGATTTTATTTTAAATGATTCATCATTTAATAAATGATGAAGTTATGGGTGCAAATATTTTTATCCACGCATAACATTTTTTTGGATGAAGGATGTAGTAAAGAAAAATATGTTGTCATTTTTTGACTTACCCCTTATCCTCAGTGAAAGAATATTCCTTTAAAGTTGATGCTGAATCTTGAATCCTTTTTTCCTTTTTAAAATTACTTTGTAGTACTTGACAATATTAACTTTTCTTTCTAATTTTCTATCTAATATTATTACATTTATATTACTTTTGATTTCCCTATCTAAATAATTCACAATACAAATTTCCTGCATGTCACAAAAAAAAAAACTATTATAACTTTGACAAACATTTTTTAGCATTCGATGAAAAATATCCTATGCAATGAAAGATTAGCACAAAATGAGATGTGGAAATTCCGTTGGTGACTCTCCTCGATGACTGTTAGGAAAAGATAAAAAAAAATATCTGTTAAAAAAGTTGCTTTAGTTGGACATAAAAAATATTTTAATTGTTAAGATTAATATATAAATAAATTTCGAATTATTAAATTCAAAAAATAAAATTAAAAAAAGAATTTATTATAAATTTTTAAGACCAATTATTAAATAAAAGAATAATTAAAATAATTTGTAGGTATAAATTTTTAATGTTTGAAGTTCAATGTTGATGAAAAATAATTTATTTTTTTCGTATACTTACTCCTTGTTTGATCATAAAATCGTGGACATCCAGAAAAATCCATATGAATTCTTCTCTTCGAATGTGTATTGAACTTTGGAAATTGTTTTGGATGTCCTGGAAATCTGAGAAAATTCTCTTTTATTTATTTGAGACACTTAATTAATTTGAACAATTAGAAATATTTATTAGAATTCACGTGGTTAGTGAATTAAATCTATGATTTAAAACTTAAATCTATGATTTAAAACTTCTTACCTCTCCGAAGGAGATCGAAGAACTGTGACGGTATATAAAACTTACAGAGGTTGAAGGGGGAATTTTTCCAAGAAGGGAAAAAGGAAAATAGTGAAGGGGAAGGGGAAGAGGCTTGATTTTAATTTCATACTTTTATTGTAGTTTTCGAAAAGATAGACAAGGACGGAAAGAAAACAACTTCTGTTAACAATGCCGAGGGTCATTATCTCTCTTGTTTACAATAAGGGATTAACTTCTGTCCCTAATTTTGAATAATGTAAAATTATTTTCAGTAATTTTTCTACTACATTTCATTATTATTTTATATTATATTATTATACTAGTTTAATATTTTAACATTATTATTATATTATATTATTATATTGATATTACATTTTTTTTAAAAAAGAAAACCATTTGAAACAAAATTTTTCTAGAAAAAACTTTTCTAAAAGATACACTTTTTCAAAATAAAATTTACAAAAGAAATATTTTCTTTATGCGAGGAAAAAAAAGAGATTTGAAATTTTAATATTTCGTAAACATTTTAAAGCTGCGTCGTGATATTGTTATTATTTTTGAGGTTATACAGTATTGCCACATTGTTTATTCAAAATGTTTGCAATATTGTAACATCCGTAACGAATATCGACTACTAAATTTGATCCTGTTACATATATAAACAGCGGGATGATAAAATTTAATCAGCTAATTGTGAAATTTATCTCCCAACTAAAGTCGAATAATTCTTTTAGTGATTATTCAGATATTTCCATTATTTTCAGTGTATAAATCCATTAACTTACTCCACTTTTTTCCCCATTTCATTTGTATAAATTTATTATAATCTTTTAATAAACGAATCACATCGAGTGGGATTAAATATTTTTTTCAATATTTTTCAGTACATTGTATTTTAATATTGTCGATATATTTCTTTTAGTAAACCGGAGCAATTATTTCCGTTTTATTTAATTATTGAAAAAAGTAATTTTATTTGAAAAGAAAAATGTTCATCTTTAGGAAGCAGAAATTTTTTTTAAATTAAGATTAATTCGATTGACAATGAGTTATGATTTTTTGCATTTGCGAATTGAAAATAGAATTTTAATAAATTAAAATGTTCAATTTTTTGAATTTCTTTACTTTGACTTTGCCTTTAAATTTTACTTTGACGCTAACTTTAACTATGACTTTAACTTTAACTATATCTATGACTTTAAATTTAACTATTAAAATGAAAGTCAAAGTGAAAATAATATTTAAAGTCGAAATCAAAATTATAGTCAAATTTAACAGTTGCTTTGACTTTAACTTTAAATTTGTCTATGAAAATGAAAGTCAAAGTAATATTAAAATTTAAAGTCAAAGTTAAAGTCAAAATTGAAGTTATAGTAAAATTCAGCAGTTACTTTGACATTAATTTTGACTTAGAATTTAAATTTGACTAATACAACGACAGTCAAGATTAAATTAAAAACTTAAAGCTAATATCAAAAACGTATTGAAAGTTGAATTTTTTAATTACACCATAGATTTGTAATTTTGAATTTTTAAAAATCAATCAGCGTCTCAATTTAAAATTTAATCTGTCAATTTTAAATTTCCACTCCTGAATGAAAATTGTCCGTCAAACGTCATTTTGAATTCAAAATCGAAATATCAATACTTTCAAAAGTATTTTGAAACAAGTTTCTGACACTTTACTTGACAAGTATTTGTATTTGTTTATTTTTTGAAACACATTTTTTTAATATTTCCTTTTCAAAAAAGAAAAGAAATTAACTGTCACTTTAGAAAATTTCGATTTCAAAATTCCGACAAATGAACGTATTCTTTACACTAATGCTTATGAAAAAGTACATCAGTTGACATTAATGTCCGAAAAATGAGAATTTTATTAAAAATACTAATTTAAAACAAAAAAAAACCTAAGGTGGTAAAAAATGTCCTCTATTATTATCCAAACTCAGAACATGATCCTGAGTAAGAAAAAAATTATAAACAATAATTGATTTTGTTTACTAAAATGTACAGCAGTTGACATTAACGTCGGAAAAATGGGAATTATATTAAAAAGGCTAATTTAAAACAAATCTAATAAGGTAAAAAATGTCCACTATTTTTTTCCAAACTTAGAACATGATCCTGAGATAGAAAAAAATTATAAACGATTAATATTGTTTATAAAAAAGAACAGCAGTACAGTATTTGACATTAATTTATCAGGAAAAAGGAAAATTAATAATCAAGTCAATTATTTTAAATGAAATCTTGGGAGTAGAAAAGGTTCTCATTTTCTTGCAAACATAGAATGTAAACAGTAAGTAAGCAAAAAAATATAAACAATAGCTTTTGTTTATATAAATGAACAGCAGTTGACATTAATGTTTAAAAAATGATAATTTAATTTAATAGGCTAATTAAAAAAGAATCTAAGCTTGTAAAAAATATCTTCTACTTTTCCCAAACTCAAAACTTGGTCCAGAGTTAGAAAAAAATTATAAACAACAGCTTTGTTAAAAAAAAAGTACAGCAGTTGACATTAATTTTTCAAAAATGGGAAATTAATTAAAAAGGCTAATTTAAAAAAAAAATCTAACCTAGTAAAAAATGTTCTCTTTTTTTCCCAAACTCAAAACTTGATCCCTAGTTCGAAAAAAATTATAAAGAACAGCTTTTGTTTATAAAAATTTACAGCAGTTGACATTAATGTTTAAAAATGGGAATTTAATTAAAAATGCTAATTTAAAAAGAATCTCAGCTAGTAAAAAATGTCATGAATTTTTTTTTTCTAAACTCAAAACATAATTCTGAATTTTAGTGCTAGTGGTCAAGGTAGTTTTTTTGATCAAAGTGTAAAGTTTAAAAGGCGAGTAAAGTATTTTTAAATAGCCCAAAAGTAATGAAGCAATTTGCCTTAAAATAGAAGAAAAAAAGTCGAATTTTAAGAATTTTTTATTTTTGGTGCTATTGGTTTGGGTAGTTTTTTTGACCAAAGTGTGAAATTTAAAATCACTAAAATTTAGTAGAATTTATATAGAAATTCTATAGAATCGTTCTATTGAAATTCTATAGAATAACTAGAATTCATATAGAATGATTCTAGTGAAATTCTATAGAACTTTTTCAGCTGGGATTGTAACTGAAATCTAGGGGAAAAAGGCTTCGCAATTCTTTTGCTAACAAAATTGAACGTATTCTTTACACATAAAAGGAAAAAAAAACAAGAAGAAGAAGAAGAAAAAGGACAGAACCTTGTATAATATTCAAATATAACAGAATCATCGTATATTGATAAATGTATATGCGTTTATGTTATACATGAATGATTTTCCATGCGGATATGGAATTTACGACGGTGACTGAGCAAATTTATTACTTCGGGCCCGTAAAATGAAAGAGAAACATCGCGACGCATTTTGTATTTGGATCAGCGTCATCGACAAGAAACGACGACGATTCGCTATACTGGTTCACATGCAAATCCGTTGAGTGCAACTTTGCACTGTTCCCATTTCCCATCGCTGATTTATAATCGGTCCCAGTGCAAACATTCAGCATGCGGTCATTGGTACAAACCTTAGTGTGCGAGAGCAAAAAAGGAAAAAGAAAAAAAAAATTGAAGGAACACAAAAAAGTAACCAGTCTCTAAAAAGCATTTGAAATCGATTAGCGTTCGCGAAAGTCGTAAATTTTACTCTCTCACTCTTTCTCTCTTTTTCTCGTTTTTCCATTACCTTACTGTGCTTTTCTTTTCTAAAATAAATGTGTTTTTTTTCCTTCTATTAGCGAAAAGAAATTTGGAATTTTAATATTTTATCCCCAGACTAGGTGTTCAAAAAGTGGGCAAACGTTTTAAAAATTTTTTTAGCTTGAGGAGAAAATAAATAATAAAAAATATGAGATTAAAAATTTTAAATAAATAAAAGTTGAATAAATTTTTGCTGAACTGTAGCATTGAGAGTGATTTTCAGTCCTAATATTAAAAGTAAAGTAAAATAAAAAATAGAAAAAATAGTTCAAACTTTTTTTTATGTTACTTAAAAAACGGAAAAAAAGCTTCTAAAATTCTTTAAAAGTTATTTTTGAATAATTACTTCTTACTAAAAACTTCTTTACGAGAAACGTTATTTAACTAAAAAATACTTAATTTGTCATTAACAATTAAATTTTTTTTTGACCAACTGATAAAAAAATCGAATGTAAAATTTGACTAACAATTAGTTATTTTTTTTTTCAAAAGGAGAACAAAAATAAAATAAAAGTACAAAATAGAGTATATAAGTTAAAATTAAAAATTCAGTTCACGACACTGTCTTGTTTTCTTCTATTCTTTATCAACCGTTGTTTTAATTTATTTACTTAACGACCCTCGAGAGAGTGCAGCATCACAAACATATATGACTCAGGAGTAAAGGAACACTGGACTTGATTTAAATAAAGTGTTAAAAACAAATGAAAAAGACAATTAACTTTTTAAACTTCCTTTTTTCACTCCTCAAACTGATGTAATATTCAATTTACAATTAAACAAAACATTAAAAAATAAATGTACTTCTCTTTATTTTCAGAATATTTTTTCTACTATTAAAATACGAAGATAAGATAGTTTTTATTTCCATTTTAATAAAAATTTAAACAAAGATTTTAAATTTAAAACTAAACTAATTTCTGGTTCAGTTTTATTAAAATAAATAAAATTACTAATTATTAGTAAAATTTTGTCTGCTTTTTTCAGCAGTTAGTAAAAAATAATTTAATTGTCAATGACAAATTAATTATTGTTTATAGTTCAAAAAAAATTTTTAGCAAAGAAGTTTTTAGTAGAAAAGTAGAAAATAACTTCAATAGAAAAAATGTTTTTAAACTAATTTTTTTAAATTATACGAGTTTTAATAAAAAAAAAAGTTTTTTTATTAGTACATTCACTGTGCTTACCTTGTCGATTTTTGTTTATCCGTTAGGTGCCACTTGAAAATCTTCGTCACGCATGCGCATAGTTAGAGCTAGTGTTCTTTTTAAAAAATAGTGAGGGTCCTACCTTGACTACGGTCCAAACTTGACTATATGTTCCTTAAAAAAAATAATTATACAAAAATAACTTTATTAGAAAAAATATAATAATATCATAACTTTTTAAAACTCAACGTTTCTTTAATAACCAGTTGTAAGTAAAACTAATTTTTGGTACAAAAAATTATTTTCTAGTAAAAAAGTGAGTTTTTAGTAAAAAAAAAAAAAAATGTGAGAAAGAAACTTTAATAGAAAATATGTGTTTTGTTTTAATTTTTATTCTCTAAATTTGAATAAGTAAAAATATTTACTAATTTGAATTAGTGATTTTCTTTTGAAGTAGTAAATTTTACTAATAAATTAGTAATTTTTTATTATATTATTAAAAACTCAATTATAAAAAATAAAAAATGCAAAAATATTCTACAAAATATGATTATAAAAAAAATTAAAAATAAATAAATAGTAATTTTTACTAATTTATTAGTAAAATTTACTAATTCAAAAGCAAGTCACTAAATCAAATAGATATAGTAAATATTTTTACTAATTCAAATTTAGAGAGTAAAATTTAAATTAGTAAATTTTACTAATAAATAGTAATTTCTACTAATTAATTAGTAAAATTTACTATTTCAATAGCAAAATATCAGTCATCAATTCAAATTACTAAACATTTTTACTAATTCAAAGTTAGAGAGTAGAATTTTCATGGAAAATTTTTGTAGCAAAAATTATCAACTTTTAGAAAAAATAAAGTAACTGTAAATAATGTCAAAATTGAACTATTGTTCAGAAACTCATTCTTTCCTTTTGGAAAAGAAACATTACATATTCTATTCTATTTGTCAATTACAAATTTTAATTGAAAATGAAATTGAAACTTTTTAAATTTTTAGAAAATAAAGGAAAAAATTTTATTCAAAAAAATGTTCTGTTACATTTATTAACGAATTTCTTTAATTGTAAAATTATTCGAAAACATCAATAACTTTTTTTAAAAATAAATATTTAATCAATACCTATTATTTTTTCATAGGAATTAAGAATTTCAAAAATTTTTAATTCAAATCTTTTTAAATTCAATAAATTATACGAATATTTTTATAAAACATGAAGATAGCGATTGCTCCGAGTCGAAGACTCGGAGTGATCGATTTCTTCATGTTTTATAATAATTAAAAATAACCGAGTGATAAAATCATTCTTATATATTATAAGAATATTATTACAGTAACTTTTTCAAAATTATTTTCATCGTTTTAAATCAATTATTATTTTCTACAATTTTTAATTATTTTTTATGAAAATAATTGATTTCCTTAAAAAAATTTTATTATTTATAAAAATAATTGAATTATTGCGAAGGAATTTTTTAAAAAATTTGTAAATAATTGAATTCCTGAGAAATTTTTATTATTTATGAAAATAATTAAATGTTTGCGTACTATTTTTGGGAATTGGAAATTGATTTGAAAATAATTAAACTTTAGGGAAGAATTTTATTATTTATAAAGATAATTGGGATTATGACGAAAATTTTTTTTAAGTTTAAAAAATAATTGAATTTTAGGAGAAAAATTTTATCACTCTTGAAAGTAATTGAATTTCTGCAATTGCTTGTAATTTTTCCAAAATTGGATTTTTTTAGTGTTTTCAACAAAAATTTGAATTACAAATTTTTAAATTCTATTGTTTTTAAAAATGCTAATTTTTTCTAAAAAAGTTAGCCGCGAGTTTTGGCGCGCGAATTGTTGCTAATTGAATGATAATAAATTTCTTTTATTAAATTATTAAAACTTCAATTATAAAAATTTCAAAAATATTAAAAAATATTGTAAAGAATATAATTATAAAAATAAAATATAAAAATAATTTTTAGGTTCATTATTTTTTTTCCAATAATTTTGCAATTTTGCAATTTCATTAGATTCTATTTTCCTCTAGAATTAACAATTGGAAAAATTTCCAATTCAATTAGTAATATAAAATGTAGTAGTGAAATTGATTTCGAGTTGACTTTCCTCATCTAATACACGATTTCTCATATAATATATGTAGAAGAGCGTGGTAGGTAGATTATAGGGTATACTTACGTTAATCTCCGGAATCTTCGATTCTTTGAGTCTTATCTATCTTCCATAGACGTTCCTTGATGATAATCCCAAAAAAAAAGTTCTAATCAATCCAGTTGACATTAAATTGATATCCGAACTGATTTCATACTAAATTAACAAAAAAAAAATCTGTTTCTTATTTAATGAAAAAAAAATCCTTTCATTATTTTCCATCACCATTTTTTAACTAATTTTTCAGAGTTTTTTTTTACTCTTTAAAAAATTAGTCAATTAGTTAAAAAGAAGAAAAGAAAATTGCTAAATTTTGGGTATTTTCTTTCTTTTTTTTTAAGAAAAAAAAAAAATTTCATCTCGTGGAATATCAACATTAGGAGAATTTATGCTCCTCACGAAAAACAGGCGCTCTCATATTTCTACTAGCAGTATATGAATAAAATATTTTATCTACAGTTTTCAAAGTACAGTGGACCAGGCTAAATCTAAACCTTGGGGGTAAAATGTTGAATCTAATAAATTTTCCACTCTTTTAATATTACACCATTTTCTTGCTTGAAATAACTCAGCTTTTTACGAGGGTTGCAAACACTTTTTTTTTTTTTTTAAAATCATTTTTTGAAACGAAAAATTGAAGAAATTTTTATAAAGTCTTGTGAAAATTTTAATAAGCGCAATATTGATAGTATTTTATATTTAATAAAGGGGGTATTTTTATATTTAATACAAAGGATATTTTTATATTTTAATACTAAGGGTATTTTAGTATTTTTATATTTAATACAAAGGGTATTTTTTCTAATAAAAAAAAAAATTTTTTTCTTGTCAATTTGTTTAGAGTGCTTGTTACGTTATACGTTTATTTGCCCGAATAAAGACAAAGGTGCTTAATTCAGTTGATGTTCAAGCATCGAATATTTATTGAAAACTGATCACTATGTACAAACGTATTAAATACACGTGAACATTTATACAGGGTTTAATAGTCAATATGCCGTCGATAACAATAGATAATAACTAACTACTAACACAACACAGTCAAGTTATTTACATCTCATTCCTCTCGATGTATTTACTCTTTGAGATTGCTCGAGCAACAATAATACTGGCAACAAACGATAAATTGATGTTTCGACAAATTGTGTGTACACTCAAAAAGTTTTAAAATATTGTGCTCGCACAAAAATTCTCTCTTTTATTTATTTTAAAAAAAAGATTAAAAAAAAGAAAAAAAAATATTTTAAAAAAATATTAAAAAATACGATTACAAAATTTTTTTAGAAATAATTACATTGGTCCGAGATAAAAGGAAACTGGCTAAAAAAAAGGTGTAAATGGTAAAAAAGTAAAAAAAGGTATAAAAAATTTTTTGCGAAAATAATGCAGTTTGTTGCCCTTTTTTTGCTTGTGGGAAAAAAATTTGAAAATACTATTATTACAGAAAATGGCAATTTGAGGATCTTGTTTCGGAAGCTT